GGGTTTGAACCGCCAGCCGTCTGGTTAGCAGGCAAGTGTCTTAGCCACTATGCTATCATAGCTCCCTATATTGCCTTTAGTAGGTGCTAACTTCTGGATGCATTTATTTACATGTATTTTTTTTTATCGGAACATAATTCAGAATCGTCAAATGTATAAGAATCACCAAGTTAGAATTTGGCACTGTGAGTGAATTGATGATGCTACACAAACCAAAAAAAGGAACAATACCACTGTCATCAAGTCAATTCTGTCTCATAGTCTATAGGACAGAGTAGAACCGTCCCATAGGTTTCCAAGGTTTTAAATCATTACAGAAGCAAACTGCCTCATCTTTTTCCCACAGAGTGGCTGGTGGGTTCAAACTGTGGCCTTTTGGGTAGCAGCCAAATGCCTTAGACATTGCACCACCAGAGTGCTTTGATACTACAGAAGGAGGAAAGAAAGAGTAGTCTTGAAATCAATAAAATTATAAGAATAAGATGAGTGGAGCATTAAAAAAAAGAAAAATCCCACTGCTGTCAAGTAATTCCAACTCATAGAGACCTTATAGGACAGAATAGAACTGACTCATAAAATTTCTAAGGTTTCTTTACGGTTTCAGACTGCCACATCTTTCTCCTACAGAGAAACTGATAGGTTTGAACAGGGTACCATTTGGTTAGCAGGCAAGCACTTAAACCACTGTACCACCAGGGATCTTAAGTGGACCATAATTTTTTATTTTTCTCTTTAACTAAAGCTATTAGTACTACAGACTCACAGTTCATTAACTTTTGTTAATACATTAAGAATTTCAAACATGGAAATGCAAACACAGAATAGTTTTTCAATTCCTCAGATGGATTTCAAGCATGAAGTGTGTGCTATAGACCAGGTTTTTTTCAGGGCCATAATTTAGCAGAATGAGGCATAGACTATGAAGAGTTACTTTAGGTCACATGCGATAAATGAATTGTTAGTTCTCTCAACCTGTTGGAATTATCCTGTTGCTCTTTGAAAATAATTTGAGAAATGCTTCCATTCACTTTAACTTCTACAGATTATTATCAGAAGTGGCAGGAAGCACATAATGCATACTTGACCAGAAAGGAGGTCAATTATTCAATTTAAAGAAAATTTTGCCAACTATTGAAACAAAAGGATGCATGCGTGATCATAAAATGTAAGTAATTTTTATATCAGAGTTGTGTTAATTTATGAATTCTACCCACAAGATTGAGAATGCTATTTAAAGTCTTTTTTTCCCTCTTTTTCCCATCATAGATTAATTTCCCACTGCCCTTTCTCTTATTTTATATAGGTATAACTCAAAGTCACATGAGCCAGGCCTGTGACTCTAGAAATACTTTAACAAAAACTATGAGACCAAGTCACACTGAGGGACCACAGCAAAATTTCAATGTTTACAAATTGAAATACATGAAAATATTAAATGTTTAATTCATAGTGAAAATATATTTCTCTGACCTAATATACACTTAAATTATGTATGCAATATAATTTATAGTTCATATATGACCATATTTAACACAAGCTACAGCTCATTAAATTATCCATATTCAAATTGATCGTCTAATGTCTACTTTGGTATTGATTTAAATCTATATCATTATTAATTAAATATAGTACTTTCTATTCTTATTTAAAAATTATTTTATTTTCTTGATTTTCAGAGAATTAAAGTTTAATTCAGAAGTAAGATACTTTAAGAGTTCATTTCTTTGAGTTCATCACTTTTGGAGGATCTGTAAAACAAATGATTGCATGCTTCTAAAAGTTCTTTTAACAAACCAAATCAGGAATGGTTTTAGCAAAATCTGGACTATTTGTGACTTTCCTTAAACACATATTTGTAACCATAAAATAAGACATATAAAATCCCATGGTCTTCATTATGCAGTGTTTACAAATTTCTGCTTTGTATTTGCTCATTATATATGAAATATCACAATTTCTAAATTGCCATAAGATGTTTTATAATTTTTTTTATATACTGAGCCTGATGCAGTTTGATAAGGTGAGTATAGAATAAATTGCCTTAAAGTGTTATACTAAATAAAAATAAATGTATGGTGATGAGAATTGGTTAAAAGCTACCTATAGTTCCCAAGTCAGACAATAGAGCCATGTGAACTGTTCTCTCTTTTGGTAATATTTGCTTCTCATACAAAATAATTTGTAAAAATAATAATAATAATGATAAACACCTATGTAGTACATACACTACAGTAAGAACTGCTCCAAATGAGATAGATATTATTAATATTATTCCCTTTTTTTAGATGTGGAATCTGAGAGGTTAAGCACCCGGTCTGGGTTCATATAACTAGGAAAATGTCCCTGGGTTTGATCTAAGGCAACATGGTTCTAATATCAAGTTTTTTAATAAATATTTTATATGTTGTTGTTGTTGTTATGTGCTATCAAATCGGACTTGACTCATAGTGACCCCTCCTTGGGTTTCTGAGGCAGTATCACTAAGGAAGTAGATTGCCCCATCTTCCTTCTGAGGAGTGGCTGATGGGTTTGAACTGCTAGCCTTCTGGTTAGCAGTCAAGTTATTTAGGCACTATGCTACCAGAGCTCCTATATTTTACATAGCAAAATGAAAGCAAGGAAAAAAAAATCAACCAAAGAGATAGTATGACACTTATTTAAACCTTCATATTTGAAAGTTAATAATTTTATAGAAAGCAAAATTTTGTATAAAATAAATCTTCACGATCAAAACTAATATTAATCAAATTTGCAACTAATATTCATGAAGTAATTAGTGATTGAGTCATATTAAGTTCATTCTTAATCATAAAAAAACAGCAGTGATTGTCACCAGAAATCATATCCCCTTGAAAATAAGATTTGTAGGCCTCCGGCCCTAGAAGACATCTTAATGTTGTAATGTATCTATTTTTAAATTGGGTAATTGGGTATTCGGTTCACAAATCCAATCAGGCTGCAAATATTTTAAGAATGAATATTTCACTCCTAATTCATGTGTGTGCATGTTTGTTTAATCTGCAGGAAGTTCTTCCTCTTTCAATTTGGCATCTGTGTTTGACTGACTTTTAGGGAAAGCTCATATATATATATATATATATATATATATATATATATA